AAGCATTGACTTTCCAAAGCGTATTTAAATTATTTGCTCGACTTGATTCCCTTAATAGGCTCCTGATCGCTCGGTCGAGGGATGGAGGATTAAGTTTGGGTGAAAATCACCTGGACCACCCACCAAACCCCTAACCCTTAAAGATACTTAACTTGGAAGGATAGTGGCTAATCGCAATTGTTGCTAACCGCTGTTTGGCATTTTTAAATTGGCTTAGCAGGCGATTTGGGATTAGCAACCCTTTGAAATTGATGCCTGTATGTGCGCATGCAGATTTCCCGTAACAAAGAGTGTGCCGACATGGAAAAAGCACTTTAGGTCCATTAGGGACCATAATTCATAAGTACCAAGAGGGATTTGGTAATAGTGGCTAGTTTCTGCTGGTCCCAGTGGCCCTAAAGTTACTCATTTATTATCTGCGCTAAGTTTCATTGTTTTCATTTGCCCAGGTGAATTTTCTTAACGCTGGTACTACACGGCGCACTTTTTTCCTTCGGTTTATTGGCCAGAAAATTGGGCTGCGATCATCAATCGTTTTCGTAAAAAATTTCTGTAAAAGTTGCTGTTTGCTAACTGTGCAATGACGATCTTGGCAGCGATTCGCGGAAAATTAGTCGCTTCTTGGCTCATGTGCTATGATCTGCACATCGTCAGCAACACAAAACAACTTGCACTAAATGTGGGTTTTACTGCAGTTGCGCCAATTTGCGCACCACGACTTCGACCAATCGATTTTAAATGAAAACAACATGTTTTCAAAATGCAGACAATTTAAACATTAAATGAAAACAAAAAGAACAAGAAGGAGAAGTTGGTGTGTACACACTGGATGAAACTCAATCAAACAAGTTTTTTGTAATGAAGTGTGTATGTATTAGGTAAATAAGGCCAAGTACTTTGGACAATTACGTCATCATCAGCCCTGATGGTGTAATACCGTCATAAGAAAGATTGAAAAGTGATTTTCTAGTGCCGAAACCGAAATGTATGTTTCACCCAGCACTGGATTCAGTGCTGTTAGCAGAGCGATAAATCGAACTCAATCCGAAGTCCGGGTTTATTCAACTGCAACTAATCACGTGGAAAATTTATGTCCCTCCAAAGCTATTATTGGCTTTATTATAAAGGAAAAACAAACAAAAGCCAACCCTTTTGGCCGCAAGGGTTAATTAATGAATTTTCGCCTTTTACGTCTTATTAATAAGGCTTCACGGGTCGTAAAATATAGTCCGATTTAAAAATCGCGTATTTTAAGGCCTTTATATTCGCTGGAGATAATTTATAAATACCCCAAAAGAGAGATATGAGCCGGACCTCGTTACGAACGCAACAAAGATAGAAATCTGAAGGAATGCCAATGATGTATCGATGAAAAAGGCCGAGATGTTCGGTTGTTTAAAGTGTTTTTTGTTTAGTTGCGTTGTGTTTTGTTTCGACACGAACAAATGAATGCTACACTTCTCGCACTCCCGATGTTCGCTTGTTTTATGGCCTTGTTCTTTGGGTGTTTTCAAATTTTAATGTCCCGTTTAGGTGATTTCGACGAGTTAACTGGTTTATATGGTTTGGTCACTCTCAGATGGCCAGCTACGTGTAATATAAATTGCGTAGAATTTACACAATTAATGGCGTTTAATTGGAAATGCCCTTTGGGGAGAAATGTGCAGATCGGATATAAATTTAAATAATCTAAGGCTGGAAACACGCCTTTCCCCCAAAGGAAACGTTGGAAAATCTCAATTACTCGCACCCCCCTGTCTGTGGGGAGGTTTATGCACTTAGGCGGCAATTATCGAGCGTGACACCCCCAATCAGCTGGGGGGAGGTCAGGGCAGGATTTAAGATCGAATCGATTAGTCCTGGTATATCACAATCGAATTTTCGGGATTCCCCACGACATGCTGTCGGATTGCTCCCCCGGGATGTTTCGCGATTAGGGCGTAATTTAAACGTCGGGGTTGGTAAGCGATCCATAACAATTGATGATGGTTCACTTAAATGGGGCCCAAATGGGGCGAAACTGGATTGCGGTTTGATCATTGATACAGCCGGTAGTCACATTAATTAAGGGATTTGTACACGCAAGGCCAACTGATGTTCTATGAAAGGGGACAAAGTCAGTACTGGTTAGTGATGAGCAAGAACAAGACCTCTTTTGCACAAATAATAAGGACTCATTTCGAAAATACTGTTGTTTTAGTGGTATARTCATGACTAATATTAGCGCTAAACAGCTCTTAATTTTTCAACGTAAATCCAATTGTTTCACAGATGAATGGGTCATAAATGGTYGGTATATTTTTGCCTTRAAAATGCCYCWACAARTTGGACAAAAATCAGCTTTTTTGCTTCTCAACACTAAAAGCTCGAAGATAAACGAAATAGCTCCAAACGGTTTTTKATTTTTTAGGTCATCCCGTTTTTTACAGGGTGCCCTCAAAAATCAACCTTTTGGTMKTGCAGTGATAAATTTTCTCCTCCGTCCGATTTTCACGATCGTGAGCTCATGTTGAAGCTAAAACTTCTTAGACAATYTAAGATGAAAGTTCGATAAACAGGGCAGCAAAAAAAATTACCCAAATCAGAATTGCCCCGAAATCTGTGATTCTGGGAGATTTTCATCAAGTGAAGTWTACTTTCAAATATTTCGTTCATTCATCCAGCCTAGTATATTGACTTTTTTAAGTCGGCTGGTAACTTTGAGAAATTTTGCTAATCAGGTCAATAGAAAAAAGTCACTTAAATTCCGAAAACTTGATTTTTTTGGAGCCACCCTGTAAATAAACGCGGTGAGCAAAAAATTGAAAAACTTTTTCGAGATACCACAATTATCTTAATATGTGTTGAAATGCAAAAACATGTTTTTATCCAACTGAGAGCATGTGAAACTTTCACCAATTTTG